TTTTTTTTTTTTTTTTTTCTAAATTTTTATTCAAGATAATTTACAAATGCATTAAAAAAATAGGAAAAATTCATGTACAAGAGGTAAAGTATGACACATTTTAAAATTAAGGCACAAGATTTAAAATTTTAAAAATCAGATTTTATTAAATCTTATTTATAAAATAATGAATTAAACATATATTTTGTTAATTAAATATATTAAGGTCACAATTCTATCAATTTGATCACAAATTATTTCTCGGTCTCAATAAAAAAATTTATAGATAACAAATTGTTTCATGATCACAAATCAAAAATTTTATAGGTCATAATTTATTTATCGATCACAAATTTATCAAATTAATAAGTCACAAATCACAAATTTTACAAATCACAATTTATTTCATGGTCACAAAATATCTAATTAATTAGTTACAAATTATTTTTCGATCACAACTTATTTTTTTAGATCACATGGTATTTATTAGTCACAGATTATCTATTTCATTAGTCGCATATTATTTATTGATCACACATTAACTAATTATTAGTCACAATCAACAAAATAATTTGTGATCATCACTGTCGTTGTCACCACCACAATCGTTGCGCTGCCAACACCCCTACAACCATCAACACCACTTCACCAACATCGCTATTTGTAACCACGACCACAATTACAATATCATCGGAACCGTTACTTCACCGCCACAACAAGAACTGCCACACCACTTCACCACCAGCAATTCAAATCCAAAACCGCCAACAACCCACAATTGCCATCACCTCACCGCCGTCGTCGCTGCCTCTACCATCGCTGCCATCACAACCACCACCATTTTCAACCTACACTTCTTCACAGACCTATCAACAAGAAACCATCAGGGTCTCTACAAACCACCATAGAAGCCATTTGCAAACCACCACGATCTCATCAACAATCACCATTTTCAATGCGACTGCCAATAACAATGTGTGCAGATCTCACAAATCTGCTTCGCCTAGCCCCGTCGTCGCTACATACGGTGCCTACGTTGCCATCACCACTGCGTTGCTGCTTCGAGTAGTGACAATTTGCACTCAATTCCAAAGAGAGGGAAAGAAGGTAGGGAAATGAATTATGAGTTTGTGAGTGAAATTAGGTTGAGATGTATGGGTGGATAGATTAATTTAATTTATATTAATATTTAAAAAATTAAAAACAAAAGTTTTGATTTGTGAATAGTGAAACCTCTTCCCTATTTTTAGAATACTAATCTTTAAAAATAGGGTGAGATGTAATTTCCACTTAAAATTTTTTATTAGTTTCATACTTACTTTTTAAGATTTTTTATTCTCAAAATTCTATTTTAATTATTTTTTACAGTTAAATTTTGTAAATCAATGTATTATATTTTATCAAATTATGTTACACGCATTTTCATCACCTTGTTTAGCGTCGTCATCATGTGTAACATAGTGTTGTACACATTTTATCGTATTTTCTATCGTCGTCGTGATAGTCGACACCACCACTTGTAACATTCAGTGTTACGCTAACATAGCAGTTGGCTTTATCACTTGCATTATTGTTACATCACTCCTCTAATGGGAGTAGATTAGAGAACACTTTGCCTTTTCTTATATTCTTCCCGCCCTAGGAGTAGGAGTAGCATGAAAAGAGGGATTAACATTATTTACTCAATGATAAACCACTAAGAGCTTCCTTGTTGGGGCTCCACGCAATGAGAAAATGCTCTGGCGATGAGAAAGGAGCCACTAGTAACAAAGCTTCAATAAAGTGGAGGTTGTGATGAGGTTGTCACTGTACGGAAGGCGGTCTTGATGGTTGTTATTGGTGGAGATGACCACAATTGATGTTGGTGATGAGTGTAGAGGTGGTGGTCAGTATTGTCTATGTATAACAGTGGTGACTATGGTGGTGGAGAATTTTGATATGAAAATAAGTAATTGATAAGCCAAAAACAAAATCTTGAGAATAAAAAGGAAGAAAGATTGAAATTAGAATTTCAAAACTAAGGGGGTGTTTGACACCCATTTTAGTAGAAAAATATGTTTTTGAATAGTGATTGATGGAAGAATGTGTGGTTAAAAAGTACGGAGAATTTTTAGGTTTATGTGTAATATTATTTTATTAATAGAATGTGTGGTTAAAATAAAGAAAGAGAAAAAGAATGAGAAAGAGAAAGAGAAAAAAATGGATGTCAAACGGTGGCTAAATATGGGGGTGTTTGACACCCATTTTAGTAGAAAAATATGTTTTTGAATAGTGATTGATGGAAGAATGTGTGGTTAAAAAGTAAGGAGAATTTTTGGGTTTATGTGTAATATTATTTTATTAATAGAATGTGTGGTTAAAATAAAGAAAGAGAAAAAGAATGAGAAAGAGAAAGAGAAAAAAATGGATGTCAAACGGTGGCTAAATAGGAGAATTAGAGTAATTTTCCCCATTTTCTTTTAAGAAAAACTTTGAATTGTGGCAATGAGACTTACCCATGACCTATTTATAAGTTTAACTTGATCCATCTTTATACTTCTATATTGTCATGTAATTAGTAGAAACTTCATGTAAACAAGCAGCTTGATTATATTCTTCTAAGAATAAAAGAATCTTCAAAAAGGAATTCTAAACTTTTAATTTTTTGACCCGCATAAAGCTATTAACGCAAGTGTACGAGTAATTAGAAACTGATGTTATTTTTTGTACATGGAAAATGGAGTTTGGGCCTCAAAAACAAAAGTCGGACTGTGCCTATAGAATTCTAGTAGCGTTCATGGCTACTTTGTTTGAGACAATTGAAGTGCTCCTCTTCATGGAATTTTCAAAGCACCAAATTTTGTGAAACCACACGTCATAAATTGTTAACAAATATTCAGCAGTCATGTTTATCAGATTCAAAAATTCAGGCCAACCATTTTCTCCCCGGTCGAGTATGAACAATTAGAGAAGCTACATAAAAATTATCTGACCTGCCTATAAATCTTACAAAAGATAGAATCAATGCATTGCTACCCTAAACTACCTATCTTAGTTTGCAAATTGCGAATGCAATCACCAGGAGAAGGTATGGAAATGAGGTTATATATAAAAACGGAAATAGACAAATTTCTTTTTCCTCCCATGGCTCTCCATCGTGTGACTATGATTGAGAGTAAAACCATCGACTATGGGTTCAACTTCATGTACTGACTACTATATTCTGTCCACATAAATCAACAACAGAAAATTATTGGTTCTCCCTCCCTCCCTTTCCCGTTCCCGATCCTCCCGTCATAGTTTTACCTAACTTTACCACCTCTTCAGTTGACGGTCCACCAATTTAACCCATTCTTTCGTATCTATATATTCTCCTTATCAAGCAACCATGACACAAACCTAATGAGGAGACTCGAAGTGATAAAAGCCAAGTTAGGACCAACTGCTGTCTTCGTAAATCTTGGTCCCTTCCAAACTTTCCTTCTCACTACAAAATAAGTGCAATAATCTAGATAAATAGTACAAGATACACAATATAGTAATCAACTTATGTATCTACTAGAAACATCCTATGCACAAATGAATGACATGATAACTAAATCCAAGAGGAAGTAGACACTGGCATCCACTCTTTCAAACTTCTCTTCAACGTATGAACTTGTTAATCTCTCGGCTTCCTAACCAAAGTCTATATTCTCGTGCCTTCTTGATAATCACATGATTTATCTTGATTGATTAGGATAATTTAGGAAGAAATACAAAGAACATGGGATGTCAAGCACTTAAAATCTTCTACACAAGCAAAAAACATTATATCAGAAATTCTTAAAAGGCATTGTCAAGTATATGAACTTAAGACAAGAAATACCGAAAGCCCCAAGCCAACAAAGCCACAACACAAATTCATTTGCACTCAACGCCAACTTCAGCAGCACGTCTAGGCTTATTTTTCCTCCTGCTTCCATTTTGCCTGAACCCAACAGACTTTACCAAGCCCGTAGTATTAGTATTCGTCCCCACACCATTTTCCTCTTTCACTGAATCAGTATCTTCCTTGATTTGTGAAGGCCTCTTTCTCTTCCTGCCATTCTCTTTGGCAGCTTGAGCTTTTGAACTTTTACTCAATACAGAACTCAATGTCTCCTCACCATCTTCATCTTTTTCTTCTTCTATCTTCTCACCTTTTTCTTCTTCCTCAGTCTCATCCTTCAATGGTTTCTGTGGCCTTCCTCTTCTCCTTATCGGTATCTTCTCATCCTCTCCACTCCCAGCATCGTCCCGAGCGGCAACAGATTGTTTCTTCCCTTTTCCTCTTACTCTACCCATTATTTAAAGCAGCAATTCAAAAAACTAATAAATCAATCTGCAATGACAAATATTGAGATCAGGAGCTATAAATTAATACTTCTAATTGATCTATACAAAATAGACCTGTATCCCTCTCTGACAAACAAAAGCGTAAAATCAATAGAAACAAAATCTAATAATTTGCATCGATCCAACTATGCAATCTTTGATGCAGGCAATCAATGTAAATCAGTATTAAAAAAACAAACCCTCTTCAAATATAACCCTCAACGCACCAAAGAACAACAAAACCAGTTGAAAAACAGCACATCAAATAGCCTCAAAATAGCTTTACTTCACAAAATTAGAAGAAAGAAATTATTCGTGCAAGAGTAAATTGAAACTGAGAAGTCCATTGAACTCACAACGAAAATCTGATAAAGCAATTGCATGAGATGTATAAAAGATGAAAACTTGGAGAAACATACCAAATGAAGCTGACCTTATAAGAAACAGCCGCTGGTTGCATCTCTGATGGAAAAGAATCCGATTTATTAAATCAAGAAACTAATGAAAAAACCCAATAATCAGATGGGTTTTATATATGCACTAACGATTTCAAAGATAATGGAAACAAAGAAGTGAAGACTTGATCTTTTGAGTGATGAAAAATAATTTGATAAAGTTAGAAAACTGAGAACATGAAGGCCCTGATCAAATACAACTGGAAAAAAAGAGAAAAAAAAAAAAAGAATATTCAGCAAATGGATTGAGATTTGAAGAGATTGAAATCCATGTCCATCGAAAGGTTGAACAAACAAGGACTGCAAGAAGTGAAGAGAGGAAAAAATGTGTGAAATTATGTAGCATTACTCGTGGTAAGGGGATATTTTAAACTCACAACCAATAAGAGAGGGACTCGTTAATACATAAATAGTGAATTTCTTTACTTTTTTTGGTCCCTACCAGATTTAAATATTTTCTACGTAAATTTAAAATTTTTCTCAACTTTTTAATAATACAATATCAAAAAAAATCAGTATTTCAAAATTTATTTTCCAAAACAACTCTTTTTAGCCCTTATTTGACTCTCTTTAATTTACCTCTTTATTTATTATACTCATTTTTAACCACACATTCACACAATAAAATATTATACATGTAAACTCAATATTTTTCCTTATTTTATAAACACGTATTATTTGAAAAATCACTATTCAAAACATCATATCTCCCCCAATTCCATGTTATAATGACCAAGGGCTTAGTGGGCATCAAAAAGGGACTTAACTTGTATATGTACAAGTAAACGTGTAAACTCTTTTTGTTGTGTTAATTTACCAATATACTTTTATTTAATTTTCCCCACTTCATATGCCAATTTCTTGAAATCATCTAAATACACTCATTTCCCACTTCTTGAAAATATGAAACAACTTTCATTTCTTCTTCTTCTTTAAATTCTTTATTAGTTCCAATAATAATTTAGTTTTACATGCACAAAATTAAATAGGGGTAAATTAAGAAAGATCTTGATAAAAATTAATTTTCCAATGACATTAAAGAAGAATTTTTAATCCGTGTAAAAAACGAAACAAGTCTATATAATTGGGATTGAGGGAGTATATTGTATTAACATAGAAAAACATTTTTAACTTTAATAAAACAAACTCGGTGGGGAGCGTATTAATTATTGGAACAAACACTTAGGTGAGATTCATCATGATTTCATCCTTGCTTGGTAGTTGAATTTTGGAAACCTGATTGAACCCATTTTGCCCTCTGTTATTTGATATTATAATTTTTGAAATATTGTTAAAAAATATGTGGTTAAAAAAGAAGAATTTTTTTTTGAATTTACGTTAAGAGCCTGTTTGGTGCACATTAAAATGAGAGAATACATTTTTTGAAATGATGTGATGGAGAATATGTGGTTGAAAAGAAGGAAAAGTTATTGATCTGATAGATAATATTATTTTATTGAAAAATGTGTGGTTGAAAATGAGTAGAAGAATGAGAATAAAAAATAATAATGTGGCTCAAACAGGGACTTAATATTATTTTATTGACGAATGTGCGATTGATAAAAAAATAGAAAAAATGAATTATAATTTTAAGAAAGGTACGTTATTGTAATGTAATCAATTCATTTGATTAATTTTACCTGGACAAAGTGAAAAAAATGTCCCCTGCATTGCTGGGCTGTCTGGCATGGGGACAAGGCGGCGCTAAACTTTAAGTGATAGCTGGACCCTCAATTGACCTAAATTGAGTGTTTGAATTTTAAATAAAGGAAGATCCAGTGGGCTATGAAACTCTGCTTCTTTGAGTTTATCGCTGGGCCCATTTACTTATTGGGGCTCAACATTTTTTCTCTGGCTCTAACACTTCCCTTTCGAGAATTTTAATTTTAATTAGTGGAAATTACAATGTAAATGTTTTTAAGATCTTAATTCATAATTAAGGGTTACCAACTTTTTCTTTCAAAAATCATATATAATTAAAATCTAAATATTAATAATAATATTATAAAAATTATTTTACTTATCCACCCAACAATCATCTACCTTCTGAAATCCTAAGAGTTTGTTTTCTTTATGATTTTCAAGCCATTTTTTGTTTTCGATTTTTCAAAATAGTGAAAACACGTTCTCTTTCATATTTTCGAAAACATGTTTTTGAAAAAAAAAAATTAAAAATTTACAAAGAAAACCCAAAACAACAAATTTGTCATTTTGGGTGTTTTGAGTTATAATTAAGTTAAAATTTTTAAAACGCGTTTTAAGTGTTTTAAAAAAAAAATTTCAAAATGCAAAAAAAAAAAAAAACACACATTTTCAACAATCTCAAAATGGACACTCAAAACACAAAATCCAAAATGAATTTAAAATTCAAAACACAAACTAACATACAAAGAGATCAATCCCCGATTATTTCCAAATCTCTTCTTTCTCTCTCTTTCTATACAGTTGACCCCTCACTTCTCCCTTCCTCTATACCATACCAGTGCCCCCATCGTTCATGGCACCACCATACCACTTGCCTACGGCTAATGTTGTGCCACCATCGTTCGTTGCTATCTGAGAGCAAAGTGATCTGAGATCTCATTGTAGCACGGTCTAAGAGCTGTGTCGCCCGAAGCATAATTTGAAAGGACGATGTAATACCCGTGTTAAAAGCTCTGAGAGTGACAACGTCATCTCCGGCAACATGACTCAACAGAGGTGGCTCTGATTAGATTCGGCATTGAAGACAGTAGGTTCAGATGGTGCAGTGTTGTGGTCATGATTTTGCAGTTTGCTGTGGTGTGTGTGGTGTTTTTGCGACTATTGGTGGGTAGTCATGGTGTGGCTGGTTGTGATGCGGTGTGGTGGGTGGTCATGGTGTGGTTAGTGGTGGTTGTGGTTTGTGGTGGTGAGGTTTTTGCGTTGCTACGATGTGTGGTGGTTGCTACTGCGTGTTTATGGTTGTAGTGTATGGTGGTGGTCGTGGTGATTGTGCGGTACAATGTGATGGGATGGGTTAAGAGTGTTTGTCATCAATTATTTGATTGATTGTGAAAAAAATAAATTTATTAATTTGTGACCAATATGAATGTGACTTATAAAATGTGATCGTGACTCACAATTTATTAAGTTACGACTAAGAAATAACTTATGATCAATTAATTTGATAATTTTTGATTGATAAATAAATTATAACATGTAAAATTCTCATTCTAGTTTTGATTTTGTAACTGATAAATAAATTGTTAACTATAAAATTTTTGATTTGTGATCGAAATATAATTTATGATCAATTAATTTGATAATTTGTTACAAAATTGTATAGAATTGTAACTTTAATATATTTAATTATGGGTTAATTTCACAAACGGTCACTGAACTTACGCAAAAATAACAAAACAGTCACTGAAGTTCAAAACTTGCAGAAACGATCACTGAAGTTTCATGCGCTTTCACAAACAGTTATTGGAGGACCGTTATGCCTTTAATTCAAACATAAAGGACCAAAGTGAGCACAACCGGATTTTGGACAGTTTGGAGGTGCCAACTTTGGATGACCATAACTCCGTCCTCCGACCACCTTTTTCCACGGACCAATATACCATATTGAAGCCCTCAATGCCCTCTTAACAACCCACCCAACCACTGGCCATGATCCCGTCGGAATTGGCCGGAAAATCGCACCAAAGTGAGCTACCCGGATTTTGGACAGTTTGGAGATGCCAACTTTGGACCACCATAACTCCGTTCTCCGACCATCTTTTTTCACGGACCAATATACCATATTGAAGCCCTCAATGCCCTCTTAACAACCCACCCAACCACTGGCCGTGATCTCGTCGAAATTGGCCAGAAAATGGCACCGAAGTGAGCTATCCGGATTTTGGACAGCTTGGAGATGCCAACATTGGACCACCATAACTCCGTTCTTCGACCACCTTTTTGCATTAAACAATATATCATATTTAAGCCCTCAATGCCCTATTCAAAACCCACCCAACCACCGGCCGTGATCCCATAGGAATTGGCCGGAAAAAGGAGCCAAAGTAGGCCACCCACGCAGAACCGGATTTGAAATTGATCAAAATAAATCTCTTATATATAAATTTTTGACTTTTAATTCTTTTTACTAATGATGAAATATGAAAACCCTGAAACCTTGTTTGACAATTATTATTTGGGCAAAACAAAGCATTGAATAGTAATTCTTAGAAGAATGTACGAGTAAAAATTTGAAATTACATTCACAATATTTTATTGTGTGAATATGAGATTGAAGATAAACATATATAAAAAAGTGTTCAAATAATAGTTGTCCAATAGGGCTTAAAACAAAGAAGATCCAGATTTCACTACGAAAAAATCCACCTTCTAAGATCCATTTGACATAGATGAACAAGAATAAGAAGATCGACATGATAATGTCGATGTGAATGGACATGTTCCACTACATAGCACTCACAAATTAACTTGTCTAAACAGAACTTCACTAATCAACTTCAATATTAATAATTTCTAAAACTTTTAACAACTTAAACACCGTTCAACTGTTTAACTGCCCCCAATTCTGCAAAACTAAAACAGTAACAGTGATAACCTGCATAGAAGGGGAAGAAGACCACAGGTCAGACGAATCATATAAATTGGAAAACTGAGGATAAAATTAAAACATGATGCAGCAATAGACAATGAATATTTGCAGTCTCACCGTATGCTACACTTTAGTTTGTCATATCATTGTTTTGGCATGTAGTAAGGGTATCCCCCAAGTGCTGTAGGTGCAGGCAGAGTTTCTTTCTTAACAGCATATTGAGGATACGAAAACTGAGGTTGGACAGAGTATTGAGCAGCTTGAGTAGGTGGACTCGCATAGGGGGCATTAGGGTATGTAGCCATAGGTTGAGGATATGTATAGCCAACAGGAGCTGGAGCTCCAGCATAAGACTTTGGTGGGTATGCAGCTGTAAAGCCCGTCATCTGTACTGGTACTGGAACCACTGCTGCAGTTAACTGAGATTGCACAACCTTGCCCTTGTAATTATCAGCAAGCTTCACAGTGATATTTCTCCCCTGTAATGTTCAAAAACTATAAGAATGACAAAAATACTTCGTGCATCTGATGAGGGGGATGATATTTGAGGCACTTTGTACAATCAATGAAGACATATCAAGTGTTAATTACTGTTGATTTGTAATACTTGATCTAAAGATTGATAAATGGACTGAAATATCAGCTCTATGCAACTGAAATTAACAATCATAGAAACTAAACTTCACTAATCACCACTACCGAATTTGATCATTAGCATCAATCGTGATTGTTTTCCTTTAATGGTCAGAACATCAGATTGACCTTACCTTGACATCTAAACCGCCAAAAAATGGGATACTACATTAAATGAAGTTTCCCGTAATCTGAAGAGCAAAAGAACAGAGATTACAGACCCTACATCCTGTCTCATTTACAATTCAAAGGAAATCATAGCAGCAAGGATGGATCAGAGGCAGGGTTAAACAATGAAAAAAAAATGGAGAGATTCAAAAAATTAGGAAGGCAAGAATCCACAGTGGTAGGTTTCATTGTGATGAAAGCAATGCTCAGGTGGATGTTACATGGGTTATACTTCACAGTTCTCTGATTTATCAGTGATAAGATCACTTATTAGGCAAGTACCCAGAATACATGTAAAATATTGGCAACATTGTGAAGAAAAAACAATTCTAGGGTCGCAATATATAAATTTTCCAGCAGCAGAAAACGAATCTGAATTTTCAAACAGCCATTTCTACAATATTCTTCACATTCAAAATTCAGAAATAAGCTAGTACATTAATTTCTACTTTCCTGCAGAAAGGCGAAATAAATTCAAGTACTTACCCCAAACATCTTTTGTGGATCATCTAAAGCTTTCTTTGCAGCTTCCACATTCTTATATGTGACAAAGCCAAAGCCACTTCATTTAAAACAAGAAAATAGTTCAGTTCTGCATAACAAACTCCTTTCTTCAGAAAGACCCCCCCACCCCCCAATAAAAAAAAAGGAAGGAAAAAGAAAAGATGAAAACGATCTTCTACCGCGATTTGTTTGTCTCTTTATCATATGCAACAGAACCCTCCTCTATCTCCCCATGCCTACTGAAAAAGGAGAGCAATAGCTCACTAGTTGTCTCTGGAGATAATCCGCCAATATAAAGCTTCCTCTGGGCTTGATCAGGTGCAGTACTGGGGCCGGTAAAGCCCTCACTGGCAAGATTACAAACAGCCATGCGACCCTACAGCAAATATATTTTCTGAACATGAGTAATAGAGGGCCTGATAAACAGTCTCACTTTGCCTGTCACTGCAGAATTCTAATACTCACATCTATCATTTTGCCAGGGGCTTTCAAAGCTCTTTGGGCTGACTCCATGTCTCTGTAGGTAATGAAACCATAACCACGTGACTTTCCTGTGGCCTTGTCGAATATCACAGCACCCTCTTCAATTTCACCATGCTCTTGAAATGCCTGAATGCAACTGCACAAAGTTAGATAATAAAATAACCATCTATACAACATAATAATGGCCCTTTTACAAGAAAGCACATGGAAGCTTTTGATTTTCGATTTAGTGACCAAAACTCATATCACAGAGTGCAGTTGCCAAGGGAACACATAAAACAATCCACAGGCAGCAATTCACTCACAGCACACAATGTTTCTGAAGTAGTATTCCAGGCTAAACCACGGACAAAAAGCTTTCGAAGGGCCGGATCAGCACTTGCAACACTTTTAATTTCTTCAGCAATAGAAGGATATTGGAACCCCCTTCACGCCAGAACATGCAAACAAGCACACTTGCACAATGTCAATTCACGCAACATATCACGAGGAACGTAAAATGGCCCTCAAGTGTAAAATGACTCCAAATACCCATACAACCAATTATGCATACGTAATTATAATCCTCAAGTGAAAAATGTTTAGCAATAGGAATGTAGTAAACTCATAAGACCTATATCCTTGTGTAGCATATCAGGAATCTCATTAAATAAAAAACTAAAGCTTAACAAGTCTTCACACATAAAATGCTAGCTATACTATAAGCCTGCTGGTTTAAAGTTTTCAGTTACATAGAAATGCATCCATCACCTCAAGAATTAAGGTGATAAATTGTTTTCTTAGATTGGTATAATCTTAGATTGTTTTCTAAGATTATACTACTGTTAAGAGAAAAAAGAAAAAGAAACAGTATCTAGTACTCATTGCAACACTTCCAAGTAATGAAAAATGCCCAAAAAAATAGGATAATTCTACTTATACATTATGCCATCCATAATGGATGACATAGGCCAACACACCCTCCAATAATGTACTGCCACTTGTATATTATGTCATCCATTATGGATGCCATAATGTACAAGTGGCACAACCCAAAAAAAAAAAAAACACCCATTGTTGATGCAACTATAGCTGCATCTTGTAGTGCGGGAGTATTGCCCCCAAAATTGAAATAAGAATATTCTAGTCAACTTGGAATTGATTATTCACAAATTCAACTTCCAAGGCTCCAATTTTGTGCCCCCAAATAAGTCAACATCATCAATTGTTTGCTACAATTGATCACAACATTCTCTACAACAAAATGCAGGAAAAAATTTAATACCATCAAAGGACGGTCCTCAAAATTCCCTAGTAACAAAAAACTCAATTTAAACATTTATCCCAAAATGAGGAAAAAAAATGATTACCTATCAAACAAATTAAACCAGACCCTGAAACAAAACTACTGAAAACCAACTTGAAGTTCCCTCATCATCAACTTCCCCCAACATCTTCTCCCAGAATCGTTATATACTTCAGAAAAGTCACAAAGTTTCTTTTTTAACAAGGATATAAAAAATCAAAATCTGTAACAAAAAAAAACCCCAGATATATAATACACGCACTTATATTTCTTGAATGGGGAAGGACATGGAGCTTACAATTTAGAGAGAAGATCGACGAGTTGGGGTTTAGCGAGCGGGTCGAGAAGCGAACGCAATTCTTCCACAGTTGTGGACGGCGCCGTTTCGTTCAAGTTCGGTAGCAATTGATCGTTATCGGTTTCTTCTAGCTTCCTCTTCTTCATCTCCTCCATTGTTGTTTCCTTATCCTTTCTCTATCTGTAAATCGTATATCGAAAGTGCCGTTTTGTATGCGCACGGCGAAGTCTGAAACAGAAACCCTTGAGCACTTGATTTTATGCACAAATGTTTTTCTTGTTTATAATTGGGGAAGCCACCACGTTTTTTTTTCTTTTTCTTTTTCCTCCTGAGTATCGTTAATAACCATTAATGTATTTAAGCGATAAGTAAATTTTATTATGATTATGTTTGAATCACATTAAAATTTTTATTTTTATTTTTCTACTCATTTTTAACAATATATTTTTTGATAAATTAATATTTTTCATCATATCAATAAATTTTCTTTTTTTTTTTCAACTACACATTCTCTATCAATCTACTATTCCAAAATACATTCTTTCAAAATAATGTGGCTCAAACGCACCCTAAAATATACTTCACGCAAGGTGATGACTGACATCAGGAAGCCTGTGAAAGGGAGTTTTGTGAAGGTTTTTTTTATTAAATGTAAATTAAGAATTGACAAAATGATAAATTCATATTTATACCAAAAAATAATTACATAGAATTCAAATTTAATGTTATATGAATTATTTTTAACTTTATAAAGTTAAATTTAACTTAAACAAATAATAATTAAATACATTTCTAATTACTTTTATCAAATATTTATAGCATAAGTACATCCCAACTAAGTTGGCACATGCTCCATTTTTTTCAAATTTTTAAATTTTTTTTATGGGCCAGCGGGTTAACCGCGGCCAATGAATGTGCAACCCGCGAACCCCGCAAGTCATACCTCTTTGACCCGTGAACCGCCCGCTAGAATCACGGGTCGCCCTGCGATCCCGGGTCGATCCAGCCGATTTTCACGGGTCCGGCGGGCCCGTCCGTCTTGATACCTCTACTTAAATTCAATGCCACATTATTCATTTAATTAAATTTATCAAGTGTGAATCTAAATTGGTGGTCGTTACTTGTTTCTATTTTATTTCTTTTTACATTCTTAGTCCATGTTTGGTTTAGATGATAATTATATTTTTTTGTAAATTTTAATAAAAAATGATGACATATGTTGTTGGAAAATTGTGGGGGTATATGATATATGTAATTAAAATTAATTATTGAGTTTGACTTAAATTTTAATCTAAATTTTTGGTAGAATCAAATCGATACTTATTATTATCTTCCTTAGATTAGTTAATATATAATTTTAACAATTATGAGAAAAAAAATATCAAATACAAAACTTAGACTAAATATTTGTTCATGTTACAAATTAGAGAGAAAAGAGAAAGAATTGAGAAATTAAGAAATTTGTGTGTCTATTTTATTGAGAATCAAGACCCTATATTTATATATTCCAATTAGATTGGGAGGGATATAATTGTCATTTAAAAACAATATTTTATTTAAACATTCTCTCTTGAATGACTATTTAAACAATAACTACCTCTTTAAAACATTTTCAAGAAAATTCAATAGGAAAATTCAAGTGAAGGAAAAATAGTCGATTCATTCCCCCGATTTCAATTAATGAAAATCCTTGTATCGAACAATTTATGTATTGCATATGAATTTCTTCCACAATTCCGACGAAGTACATTTCATTTTGTCTTGTTACAATCACAAGTAATATCATTTACACACAAGATATTAATCCATCTTTGTTTGACTTTAGTTCATACAATAGTAAATGGAAAAACAAATTTCATATTGTTGCTTTCTTCGAGAGTTTCGTATTCAATTTTGAGGCGGATGGAGACATTTTGAGTTATAAGGCACAATCAAACTTGTAAAAAAGTTTGAAAAATATAAAAGCATTCGATATTTTATTGCAATTATTCTTTACGATTTTCATACTCTGATGACGTTCCATAATTACAATATTAATATTGTCAAATATATCATTCTCAATATATGCAATCAAACTATCATTTAGTCATTGATTTCGATTTGATTGTGCAGATGACTCTTGACATAAGTCATTGCAGAAAATGTTATTGCGATTGTAGCTTTAGACATAAGAAGAATTAAGGCCAATGTCATCACCAAGTCTGTCATCCCTTTTAACTCGAACATTCTTTCTATTAATATTTTGCTTATCACAATAAAATGCATATTTATGTTTAAATAATTTGTCCATAACTGATACAAATAATCAATTAAAATAACCAATTCAAGTAATCGGAAGGAAAAACATACAACCAATATTAAATACTAATAATCTAAAATAAAGACTATTCAATAAATGTAAGCCAAATTGGACGAAATCATTCTAGACCCATTTTACATACAGAATTCAAAAATCATTTCAAACCCATTCCAAATCAATTTGACATAATTCAATATACAAAATTCAAAAATCATCCCCCAACAAACAAATTGTAAATGTAATACAAACTCGTTTTCTCTATCACTTTGAATTTTGGAAAAAAAAATTAAAATTTGGAATTATAAGTTACTGTCATCTGCCTACTGGTTATCTTTCAATTTTCAAAGGAAAAATAATTTAAATTGATTGTCTGAGGATTCGACGAGTTGAGGTTGTGTCGAAATTGCAATGGCATTCGAGGTCGCAATGGCATAATGACAATCATCTTGCAATAGTGTTAGAGCAGATTGGTAGAAAAAATGCAAATTTTGATTCTAGTTAATTGAAAATTTGATTGGGAAGTGGCAATTTGTAGTAGATGTTGTAATTTGTGGAGAAATTATTGACAATTTTTGAAAAAAATTAGTAGTGTTGGTATCCAAAAATCCAGCTCGGGCTTCCCTTAATTTAAAAAGAAGAGCTTATGGAGATTTAATGGTCACTTCAAAAAGGACGGACTAAGGGGTCATCAGTCAGCTCTTAACATGAACTCTATCTTGACAAGTCAGCTTTACCATGATAGGTCAGCTCAACCCCGTCATTTAGAAATAAAATTGTTACAATTTTGAATACATGTTTCCTAAGTGTTGTCATCACCACCTGAATGACCACTCCAAAGCGACCAACAACGCCCATGATGTCAAAACCTCATTTTTAGCCAATCAAAATGCAGGGCGTGTTTGAGCTACATTATTTTGGAAGAATGTATTTTGAAATGGTAGATTGATGGAAAATTGTAGTTGAAAAAGAAGAAAAATTTATTGATGTCATGAAAAATATTATTTTATTAAAAAATGTGTGGCTGAAAATGAATAGAAGAATTAGAATGAAAATTTTAATGTGGCTTAAACAGGACTTCAACAATGATTACCTAGGCCATGATGACCCATTCGACCGAACTCAACAACCAATTAGCATCCTTAAATCTGGGCAGTGGCATACACTGCTACGTTGGTATTGTAGCTGGTGTGACATCAGGCAGCTAAGTTGCTTGGTTAGAGACCTATAAATAGGGGTAAAGGATATCCTCCAAGGGGAAACTCAAGATACTCTCTTTACGTACTTTCAAATTACTCTAATCAATACTAGAACTCTTTCTTTTACTATTTTAGCAATTTATCTCTTACAAATTATCAATTAAGTTGACAAAAATCGACATACTCATTTTTTATGTCAGCAGTATGGTGCTAGAAGGAGGACTTTAGTAAGTACGATCCACATCTTTTAAAATTTCCGAAAAATCAGAATTAGTTCATCCAAACAAAGTCATGAGCTATAGATCAGTATCAAGAAGCCATTCACGTATCTACCCCAATGATACAATTTTTTCCAAAATATTTTGAGAGGAGAACAATGTCAATAAGGTCGGACACCCCAACGTTTCCATCCTCAAGTTCTCAATCTCTATCATTTTTCTTCTCTATGATAAAGTGTTAGTCATGAAAAATATTGACCAGGAGAAAATCTGTGAATGCTAATGTACAATTAGCTATCGAGGCTTGACAATGCATTTAGAGCGACTAGTCATCAGACAGTACAATCGAAAGCTGGAAATCGCGAAAATCAGAGACGCCAACTCCTAAATAATCTAGGATCTAAACCAGGACATGTCTATGTTTTCATGTTTAGAGGTTCGCTATGAAGCTACTATAACCATCGACGGGGTCCCACTATAACCGTTTATGGCACATATTCAACACAATAAATTTCAAAGATAACGAAATTAAATGGTAAGTGATAAGTGTACTTTTTATACTTATTCGTGACGTTAAATCATGATTTTTATTGTTTTTTGAATAAAATTCTATCTAAGTTATGATAAATTATATTTTGTAGGTAAAAATTTATGTTTAATGAAGAATTGAAGAAAAGAATGCAAAATAGTGAAAAAAATGGCAAAATTCTTAGTACGAGGACTTGGAAGCAAGCAATTAATTGAGCCTCAATTTGGAATTCTAATTGGATACAAAATTTGGCGACTTGAAATTAAATATATAGACAAAGACATTGGGCTAAAATTTGGAAAAGAGGCACGTTTGCCTTGTTATATTATATTATATTATATATATATATATACCTAGCAGATTGGGGAATTCAGGGACGGCGGCTGTTAACACAGAGAGAAATAGAGAAAAGAAAACAGAGGAAAGATAGAAGAAAGGAAGAAAGAAAAGAAAAGAAAAAGAAGAAGAAAGTCAACGAAAACTGCTGCAATCAGAAAACAAAGAGAAAACAAAGAAAAGGGGAAAAAGGGAAAAAGAAAGGCAAACACCCGAAAGTCTCACATTTTGTCAATTTTTGGTGATGTCTTTCTACTTTTATGTGTTTAAATTTAATATTATGTGTGGCTAAATATTTTTATCGTTAGAATTGATGATGTAGTTTAAGGTTTTTATTATATGTTTAGTTTCAAGATTTTCATGTCATTTTAATACTTGCTAATTAATTATTGTGTGTTTCATGATATTAATTGTATGCGCAATAATTAATTGATTTAGTGATAATATTGATATCGAGAGATGATGTATAATTCTAGCTTGTGCAATAATTAACGTAGACATTGTAATAGATCAAGAGATAATTATAAGTTATGTGATCTTTATTGAATTCTCATAGATAAATGTATTCATATGTGTG